CATGTGTCAACCTTTTTTAATTTACACCAAGCTTATTATTTCTCTAGTATTTTATTACAGTTCACAATTTAACCTTATTGATATAAGTATAAAACTTGGGCACTGTGGTAGAGCATAACTCCAATATGGATGAGATTTTATTTTGTTAAATCGCACACTGTTTTACAGTAATATTGACCTCTTTATTTTATCACTACACTTGATATCTGTCAACCCTTACTGGGATTTACATTCAGTGTTCCCCATTTGTTGTTGTTTGTTTGTGTTTATTTCGCGGTAATCATATTCCTCGTACACCACTGAATATAACTCAGGCCTCACGCGAAATGAAACTTAGATTCTGTTGACTGCTGATACATTATTATGTCACCCGCTTGTTTATTCACACTGTATCTTATGTTCTGAATGACCGCACATTTTTATATGCGTTCACTTGACAATATTAAACAACGAACTATCACTTTATATTATAATTTAACCCTAATACAGTTTCCGATATAAATTAACATTCTACTCAATAGTAATACACACATTTCTTATCACTGTTTGATCAAAGCAAATAAGATCAAAAGAATAATTTTATTATCAAGTACTTATTTCAAAGAAGTTACTCAGTTCCACATAGCTATGTGAATTACCAGTCCTTATTCGATGTAATTTATTAAGTGTTAGGTAGTCGGAGGCAGTTGTCAGGATGTCCTGTTAGCAAAAGGGACTGGGAGAATAACATTGATTACTCCCTAGAGCACAATTGACGTAACCATTATAGTTCTTCAGGAAGTCAGTCGTGACTTTGAATAATTTAGGGGTAACACGGTCTTCTAGCAATCGCTTCGAACCACTTAACACCAGTCTGAACTACACCATGATGATGAGCCATCTAACTTCATGGCGATGTAGCTAATTTGACTGATAGAATGAAGCCAGTATCAACACAAACAGATGTTGATTTGTGACGAAACATACAATGAAGTTATCTTAAACCCGATCACTGTTTTCTTTGATCATTATTTAGGGTTTTTAATGTTGATAATTGTTTTCTATTTTGAAGGTATCGTGTGCTTTGAGCAGACGGCATAAACGAGCCTTCTTTATCTACACCAAGATTTTGACAGTGACCAGTACATTAAGATCGGTGCAATCATTTAAAGAAGTACGATGGCCAACGTATTTCATCATTCCACTCCTTATCCTTAAACTAAAAGTCACTACAGGCCAATTCTGTAGCACCTTATTACATTCGTCAGACATACTAAGATTTATACTCAATATTTCCGAAAGACTGCATTTTGATGCCGTCTTCACCAGAAGGACTACATTGTCTACATACTCTAGATCGATGACACTGTCTCTTTGTAACAAGTCATGAGTTTCCAAAGTCGATCATCGTCACATCGACTGATACATTTGTAATGAAGTTAAATAATTTTACAAACCTTGGGTATCCCTGACAAAGATAATTAATTGTTGTCACTTCAGACTGTAACACTCTATAAGCTTCTACATGGATATACCAATTCGACCATAATGATTAGCCGAATATATTTCTTCTCACTCTCTTCACAATCAGGTGTTGCTACAGCATCTCTTGATTGACAGAGACAATCGCTACCTTAGGATCGATAAATACAAGAAGTTATGGACTACAGTAAGTGTGTACTGATATTCAGAAGCTACCAAAGGATACAGATATGATCAATGTACCTTTGTTTGACCCTGAAGTCTGTCTGACTTACTTACGTTTATTTTTCTGAAGCTTAACTTATTCTTAACAGGACTAAGGAGAAATTATAACCTCAGACGCCATCCTTCAGTAATTATCATGGCAACACTTACTTCCTCTTTTCTAAACTCAGATAACCTATTATCTATACCAATCTGATAAAAATGTCTTGAACTTCTATAAAATAATCAATAAAGTATCATCTAACTATTTCGAAGGCTATGAAGAATACTTGTGACTCATAGAAACAGTATGACTAACTAAGAAGGAATCAAGACTATTTTATAATTCTGTATAAAAATCAAAAGTTCATACTTTAAAAAAATAGTCACGAAGATGATCTAGTTAACGTATACATCGTGGTATGAAACAGAACAACTGAAAGTCAGATGAATGCCGAAGCAAAAAAATGAGTCAAAAACTATACACTTTACAGATTTGTTACAGGATTTTCATCATGAGCTGACATTAGTTAGAGAACCATTGGAAAACCTGGGAGTACTGGACAGCTGTTTCGTCAGCCTAGTTTGGGACCCTTCATCAGTACGCACCCACCGGGATTCGAACCCAGGACCTTCTGGTTACAAGGCGAGCTCGTAGACCATTAAGCCACAGGGACCCAATCCAACGACCCATGAATTCTAACTTCTGCCAATTCACGACATAGCGCGACCCCTAGCCAATGTCTTCGGCGAGTATTTGTCCTCACACCCGACCTGCTGCAACCTACTGGTCATGACTTCCACCAATCACATCCCTACAAACCAACACTTGAATATCAATGAGATGCTCACTAGCGACTTGCCCTATTCAGGTAGGTAGTTACCTGGGGTTCTAGTGAGAAGTCGTGACCAGTAGGTTGCAGCAGGTCGGGTGTGAAGACAAATACTCGTCGAAGACATTGGCTAGGGGTCGCGCTATGTCGTGAATTGACAGAAGTTAGAATTCATGGGTCGTTGGATTGGGTCCCAGTGGCTTAATGGTCTACGAGCTCGCCTTGTAAACCAGAAGGTGCTGGGTTCGAATCCCGGTGGGTGCGTACTGATGAAGAGTCCCAAACTAGGCTGACGAAACAGCTGTCCAGTACTCCCAGGTTTTCCAATGGTTCTCTAACCAATGTCAGCTCACGATGAAAATCCTCTAACTAATCAAATCCCTACAAACCAACACTTGACTCTACAGATTTGTCTGTAAATCCATCTCCTAAGTACACAAAATATGCTTCACAATTTAGCTAAGATATTTAAATTACTTTATACACAGATATTAGAGGAGATGGATGCATATAAACACTTAATAAATACAGACCAGCCTGTTTCTGAATTCAAGTGGATGGAGCAAGCCAATTATAAGAAGTCTCTTTGAAGAAACATATGTATATATATACATATAGGGAAGTTAGTTACTCATTACATAACTTACCTGCCGAATGATTTACCAACAACACAATGCCAATTAGGTCCATATTTAAGATCAAATTCTTTTTTAAGATATGATGCAATTTCACATTCTTCAGTAAATTTCTCTATACCTTGATAACAGATATCAACAGCATCCTGTTGCATATCTATAGGCATTTCAACATATTTTACAACGGCTACCGGTTTTTCATTTATCATTATATTATGATTCAATTTCTTGTTAGGAGTTTTTGTTTTCAGGAAAAGTAGTTTTAGAAAATTTTCTTTCTTTCCTTAAAGAATTTTGAACAAAACGTATTCGCCTTTTAAAGTTTTAATCACTATTTCTACAACTATGAACACAATCACTGTTTATTCACCATATAATAGTAATTACACAACTGCTAGTACTATTATTATTATTATTTTTACTGTTATATGGTTGGCTCAGTTTGATTTGTTTGTTTGATCATTTGTTTGTTTGAAAAAATGAAACTATTCACTTTCAGAAATGATTGATAATCGAAATTTGATTTGTGCATTATTTACACACAAAAGATTCAATCATTCATTATTATTATTGCATAAAGATGATGTTACCCCATCTTTTTTAAGGTCATAAATATTATATTTAAGGTAATCAGGAATAGTTGATTTTAGGTGAACTACGAGTGTACCTTGCTTTATATATATATATATATATCGGTTATTCATTCTCTCTGTCAACTGTATAAGGAGAATTAAAAGTTGAGCTTGCTTTCAGTAATGTTGGCAATCGTTTCTTGTTGATTCTAATTTTCACATACCTACATGTATACAAATGATGTATTGTTCCGATAGTCCCAAGATATTTCTGTGTTATAAGGCGGATATTATTCTTACCAATAAGAAGTAATGAAGTAGTTATGTTAAAAGCAGTTAAATTATTTCTTTTGGTGTGGTTGTGTTCTCTGAGCTGGATAGTTAATTTGCGAAGCTTTCATCGCCCTACTAGGCGACATCTTCAGCGCATACACTTCAATTCGTTGAAGTGAGCTTTCAGATTTCTCCGCGAGTTTATTAATCATCTCTCCTGGTGACTTTGGACGTGACTGGTTGTTTTTGTGTGTTTTCACAACTTCTAGGTTACTTGTATTGGAACTGATTGTTTCTTTCACTTGAACTTTGACCCTTTGTGTGTGACGTTTCTTTCCTATCGGTTGATAAATTTTGTCAATCTCGATGTGTCTATTGATTGATGATTCACTGGAATGCCAAGCTTCTAAAAATTCTCTAGCATTCTTGTTGTTTGTTTTGTCTAATATTTAAACTTTGTCCCAATCGAATTGATGCCCCTGGTTGTCTGTATGTAGTGATATCAAGGAGTAGATATCATGTCTTTTGATAGCTAGCTTATGTTCGTGGATACGAAGACGAAGGGGACGTCCACTTTGGCCATTGTAGTGCTTTTCGTAATGGCTGCAATTTATTTTGGGGATGATGTTGGTTTTATCTTCTTTCGCTGTTGAGTCTTTTGGTTGACATAGAATTGAGTGAAGTGATTTTGTTGGTTTGTGTGCGATGTCAATTCCTAAAGGTTTGAAGAGTCTTGCAGTGATTTCTAAGATATCCTTTATATATGGTAGGGCGATTTTCTTTGTGCTTTCCTTGGGGTCTTTTGGTTTGATAGGTTGGCTTGGGGGTATATGTCTTTTGATGAAATTCCGTGGATATCCATTCTTTTAGAGGACATCCATGAGATATCTTTCTTCAATTTTCCTTAAGGTGGGAGTGCTGCAATGAGTCCTGGCTCGCTTGAATAGTGTTTGTATGCAATTCCTCTTGTGTGCTATTGGATTGTTGCTGTTGTAATTCAGGATTTGGTCTGTGTGAGTTGATTTTCTATAGATTTGAGTTTCTAATTCCCTTGTGATTGTTCGCTTGACTAAGACGTCCAATAAATGGAATTTGGTTCTCTGATTCCTCTTCTCTTGTGAATTTGATGTCGTTGAAGACGTTGTTTATCAGGTTGTGAGCTTTATCTAACTCGTTTCTTTTGATAATTACCAATGTGTCGTCTACGTAACGTATTCAAATCTTGGGTTTGATCTTTGGTAGAATTATGTTTTCGAGCCTTTGCATCACTGCTTCTGCAGTTAAATTAATGAGTTTATTTGTAAGGATTCAAAGTCTTTCAAGTGTAATTGCGGAGTGAGATGAGTTAGAGAACTTTTGAAAACCAGCACCAGAGTACTGCATAGCTGTTTCGTCCCAGTTTGAGACGAATTATTAGAAGTTAGTATTCATCGGCTATTGAGCTGGGTCTCAGTAGCTAAATGGTCAACGAACTTGCCTTGTAACTATAAGGTCCTGTATTCGAAATCTACTGGTTGCCTACTGTTGATGAGTCCCAAACTGGTACGAAACAATTGTCCATTACTCCCAGGTTTTCAGTGATTCTCTAATTGATATCAATTCTTGACCAAACTTGAAACAAATCTCTAGTATATTTATATAACATAGTGTTTATTACTACTGTGAGCATAATTCAGTAGCTATTGGTTTTTGTTGATAACTTTACATTGTCTCAGCAGAAGTGCTTCAAATTAATCAAGTACACAAATCGATAGATTAGAGGAGCAAGTTTCATCCAGATTTTAGTAGTAATATTTCAAATGATTCGTTTTTTTAAGGGATAAGTCATCAAGTCATTATTATTATTGTTTCCTTTAATTCCTAGAGGAACATAGGGCTTCAGCCGTGAGTCTCCATTGCGTTCGGTTCTCTGCTAGAGTCTTCACGTTTTCATCTCCTCTTCTCATGACCTCCTCCAAGTCACCCTCACCCTTGCACTGACGACCAACTCGCCACTTCCCTTTCGGGTTCCACTCGAGCAATGGCTTGTCTAGTGATGTCACTTGATGGCTTGTTTCCTCAGAGTATGGCCAGCCAATCCATCTCCATTTCTTCCTGCCTATTTCTTTCACAGTCGGTTCCTGCTGGGTTGGTCCGCTCCCAGAGATCCCTCCCTGTTGCTGATCTTTTCTGGCTGGCCATCTGATCTTGAGTAATGGGCGAAGACAACGGTCAGTGAAGGTCTGTAGTTTGTTTGAGATGCTCTTTATGACGCGCAGTGCAAGTCTCTGATCCGTATAGTGAGTAGCACTGACTTCACATTGCAGTTGAAAATCCGGATCTTATCTTCGTTTTCATGCTGAGTGCTGTTGACCTCCACACAGACTTGAGAGTAATGAAAGCTTGCCTTGCTTTCCCGATCCTTGCTTTGATATCCTCGTCAGTTCTATCCGCCTGTAGTTGAAACGATGCTTCCCAAGTAGGTAATGGAGGTTGTTTCTTTCAGGTAAACGTCATTTCGAAGTTATCTCCCCGATAGATCAGACTGCTTATTAGCCACTTTGAATAACAGGGGGCATTAGTAATCTCTTCTACTCCTCCTATTCTTATAAAATCAAGCCGTAATTGATCAACCGCAGAATACAGCATGGATAGTATGGGCAGTAGTGTACCTCAGAAAGGTTAAAACATAAACAACCTTTAGAAAATCAAAACAAGTGATTCAGCGAAGAGTCTCTTTTCAACGAATTTATTGTACAGCTTGATGATAAATTCGTTGAAAAGAGACTCTTCGTTGAATCACTTGTTTTGGTTTTCTATATGTTACAATGGGAATTTTCCATGAGTTAAAAAAATAAACAACCTTCACTGATTGATTCAACATTTAAGATGAAATACACACATGATAACTTAAGTAGGTTTGAAAAAAAAGTATTTTTACGATTTTATTCTGTGATAATTGTTGATTTATTCAATAGACAAAATTATGTTAACTGCTTGGCAATTTATTTCCATCATTAGTTTTTATCATTAGTCTGCTAAACACATGTTCAGTAATGTTTTCCACTTCAGACAGAATATCCTATCCTATCCAGTACATAAATCCAATATATTGCAACGAGGTAGTGCATAGGTCTAAACACACACACACACACACACACACTAAAACAATGTAATTGACTTCCTTTCAGAAATGTAAAGGTCATCGAATCACTTAAATCCGGCTCAACAGCCTAAAACATACAACTGTGTCTACATTTTTGAATGATTTTCGTTTGTTCCCCATGCAAATTTCAGCAAAAGTAAAATAATGTTTAAATGCAGATATCCCAAGATAATATTCAACACTGGAAGCCTGGAGACTTGCAATAAAGTCAGTCAGTAAGTATTTAGAATTTCCAATCATTCTAGGAAATATATGTTTGGATATTTTACTGGAAGAGACTGGTAAATATATGCATATATAAAAACACAGGTTTTTTGTTCAGCGAAGAAATTTCTTTTCAACGACTTCATTTTCAAGCTGTACAGTCGTATTTATATTACAGAAAAGGTTATTAAGTGGCACTAAATAATTGCTCAGTCAATATACATATATATGTGATAAGAATAACGATAATTAAAATGTTATGAGGAGTAGAGTTGAAGTGGATGAATTACAAAATTATTAAAGATTGTTTTATAAGTGAATTGAAATCAAAAATGTTTTAAAAATGTCAAGTGTTGTCTAAAAATTTAAAAAAATTAGGAGTACGATTACGATAAGAATGAAGATGTGAAGTGAAGTGGAAAGAATTCAAGTGGTAAAATAAAATAAAGTAAAAACTAGAAAGAACATTACTATGACCAAGGTAAAGAAAGGGCTTTGACAAAACGTTTTTGAACACATAATTTAGGTTTCTGTTCATGTATAGCTAAAGCTTCGGCTATGCATAAGTGAAGAAAACGTAAACTTTTGGATCGATTTGATTTTGCCATGTAGATAACTTTGAAAGATGAATCACGTGGGGCTAAATGACCTGTCTCTAACAGGTGATCACAGACAGACGACTTCGCAGTTCTACGTTCGCCTTTCATTAAACAGACTGGATAGTGTTCAGCTACACGTTTTTGGAGAGTACACTTACAACGTTCAATATAAACAGCTCCACAAGAGCAGGTAAAAGAGTAAATACACATAGATGTGGACAAAAGCAGTAATCTATCCTTGACGCATTGTCTAATCATATTTCGGCTGGTAAAAACTAGTTGCAAGTCAGCTGCAGGAAAAGTACGTTTAATACATTTAGATAAACGATTTTTAATCAATTCCGAAATGGTGTCACCTGTGAATGCCAGACTCATAAACAGTTTCTTCTTTGGCACTGTAATTTGTCTGGGGGCGTGTTCTTTCTTGATGTTACGTTCAATAAACCTTGTAGCATAACCATTATTAAGGAGATTTGATCGAAGCTTATCTAGTTCACTATCGATTGTCTCTGCAGAGCAGATTTTACGAATTCTGGAGCATAAGGAATGAATAAGATTTCTCTTTCTC